TTAAAGAGCATATTAAATACTATCATGACAACTCCACCACAGCCTTCTGGACGAGCGCCATCGAGAGATTCTGGCACGCGACCGCGATGTGGTGCCTGAGATCATAGTCGATTTCTCCGCCACCGTAGACCACCCTATTGAACTCCGCCCGAACCGGGTAATTGAGGGGATTCAGGTCAGGTGACCTACTTGGATATTCCATCTTCTTTAGGTACTCAGCCCCCTTCCATTCCAGGTAGGCGAGTTTCTCCAACGCCCTTCGATTCCACGTGGTGGCACCCAATGCTGTAGCAGTACAAAGTTTCCAAGAAGGTACGGGCGACGACATGTGGGGAAGATCTTCTTGAGTTGGTCGATGTAACCGCCAGCGCTCAGCTTCAGCCCGGGTCCACGAAGAAAATATTGGTCTTTCCATTCCAGGTGCGTCCGGTCCATACCATCAACCCGCGCCTTGACTGTGGTGAAGATGTCCTAGACCATGGCGACGTTTTCGGAGCTGCTCGATGTTGGAGATGCATTCCATATCGAAAGTACTGGTTTCCAGGTAGCTTATTCCATGGTAGTTTTCGTGGAGGTGACATGAATTCCAAAGTCTTCTCCAGTCAGGCTGCGACTGGAGATGACTTCATATTTTGGTGTACATGAAGGTGATGGGCGAGAGCCAGCTCCTGCTTATCGAGGAACATCTTGGGTATCTTCCGCCCTGTACTCGTATCCCACATGTCCTGTTCTCTCTGTGGCTGGGGATTGCTGATTCATGTCGAGCCTCGGTCGAAGTGGAGCTTTTTTTGCCCCCCCCTCGTATCGCGATCCTCCCGGACTAATCTGTTCCAAATTAAACCTAATCTGCGGAGGATTCAGAATTTTTGGGCAATGCTGGGCCAATCCGCGATTTTGACCCTGGATCGCGCACGTGGTAAGCGTGCTGCCACTTGCCTCTACACTGCTTTCACCTCAGCGATAAAGTGACACAATAAATATGGGTAATAGTTACTACCACCCCTCACGTTGCAAGAACCCGTTCACTGAATAAGCAAGTGAGACGATGACATCATTGAATTTTACCCCAGACCAAAGCATAATGAGCATAACAAATGAAGGAATTGAAACAAGAAAGGCCGTTGAAGCCGAAATCGCTATCCAGATGCTGAGGTTGTGCCTCGAATGTGTCACGTTGTCGCAGCTGAACTTCTGAATCAAGTAAAGCCTATGCATGCAGTAATCACACATCGCGAACATCAGTACGAAAACGGGAGGGATTCTCCAGGGAGCAGGATACCGTACGTTGGGCATCCTCAGTGATGGGAGGCGTATTTAGTTTCAGGAGGGAGGAGGCCATAATATAGAAGGGAATTCTGAGGGGGTTCGTACTCTGTAAAAAGTTTCGGGCACAAGCTAGACGTGCCTTATCAGGGATCATTCTACTCAGCGATCCCTTCAGAAGGTGCAAAAGTGGGTGTTCGCACCATGACGTAACCTAGAAGCACAGTGCACGCTGATCGTATGGGCGGAGACAACTAACCATGTTAGCTTATTCACTGAGACACCTTCAGTTTTAGTGTCTCAGAAGGGTGTGCGCATTGATAAGGAAGGTGCAGCGATTGACTCCACCTCCGATTACCAGGGACCGGACCGTAGTGAGGTCAAGGGATTGACCTTGAGTTTGGATAAGTGCTCGTTGACCGTACAAGAACGACTTTTGACTCACCCTGCTGTAGTTCCAAGCGACAAGAAATGAACAGAAAGATATATAAAAGGCAATAACTACAATTACAAAGTGAAACGTGGCATACCTGAAAAGGAAAGGTATCAAATATGGGAACTGTTCACCTTCACTATCCGCTTTTTGAAATGTCAACTGAATTTTCATAGAAATGTGTTTCCGGCGCTAAAATGTACCAGAAACGGGCGCTGTTTGGCGACGGAGTGGGGGGGGGGGCATTTTGCACTTTTGCTACTTCCCATCGACGTGTCTAGAGAGCCTTTTCATGAGTTGACAGGTTTCACCATTTTGGCTCGATAAGCTTGCTTCCAGTTTTCACCAAGTGTTGCACGGCGCTTTACAGAATCCTTACATTCTATAAAGCAGAAACTTTGTGTGTCGGTTTGTCGGTATGTAGGTATGTATGTCGGTTTGTATGTTTGTCCGTCCGCAAAATGCTTTACGGGATTAAACACGTTAGTGAAAGAAGAAAACGACCGCTAGCCAAACCGGGAACCCATCGGTGCAGATGTATCAATCCAATGTTTTGATTGTGATAACAGCATATATAAGACAACCACTCGGTACACTCCGAGCCATTGCACGAGCTGCTGCCGTGGCAGCTGGACGTGTGCTCGTGCGGGGGCAGGGTGGGGGTGCCAGGTCGCCCTGCCTCCTTCTCCTGCATGTGCTCAGCCGGAGCTGAGCACATGTATTGGAGGGAGGCAGAGGGAAGGGGTCGCGGGGAGGGGGGGGGTACAGTGAGGGGTGCGTAGCGCGCGTTTCAGTAGAAACGCACACCAATGGATGAGGAAACAACCGCTAACAAAACTGTAAGCCAAATCTCACTCTTTTCATTTTATAAACAGTAACTTTTGCTGTGTGTCGGTTTGTATGTATGTAAGTATGTAAGTATGTATGTAAGTATGTATGTATGTATGTAAGTATGTATGTCTGTCCGTCCGCAAAATGTTTCACGGGTTCAAATTACTGGAGGGAAAAAACGACCGCTAGGCAAACCGGTAACTGATTGGTAAGGATGTATCAACCCAATGTTTTGATTGCGATAACAGCCTCCACTATATAAGACTGCAGTTTATACTTTGCCGGCAGCCCGTAGCCGTTAGCGCTAGCGTTAGGTAGGCATGCGTAGCGAGCGCTTCCAGGTACCGCCAGCGGCAATGCCGAAGAGAGGATGCATATCGATCTAGCTTCACCAGCGTCACCAGCGGCACGCTGGCGTACGCTAGCGGCACGCTAGCGTACGCCAGCGTTTCTCCAGCGTTTCACCAGCGTTTTGCTAGCGTTTGCAGCGGCAGGGGAGTAGAGACTATGGGAGAGCTGGAGGGGACAAAACACATCGATTGCCCGTATCTCACTCGCCCTTAGTCTCTACAATGCACATCGCTTCTGCGTCTTCGACGGGCACATAGTCTCTACAATGCACATCGCTTCTGCGTCTTCGACGGGCACATAGTCTCTACAATGCACATCGCTTCTGCGTCTTCGACGGGCACATAGTCTCTACAATGCACATCGCTTCTGCGTCTTCGACGGGCACATAGTCTCTACAATGCACATCGCTTCTGCGTCTTCGACGGGCACATAGTCTCTACAATGCACATCGCTTCTGCGTCTTCGACGGGCACATATTCTCTACAATGCACATCGCTTCTGCGTCTCCGACGGGCACATAGTCTCTACTCCCTGCCGCTGCAAGCGCTAGCAAAACGCTGGTGAAACGCTGGAGAAACGCTAGCGTACGCTAGCGTGCCGCTAGCGTACGCCAGCGTGCCGCTGGTGACGCTGGTGAAGCTAGATCGATATGCATCCTCTCTTCGGCATTGCCGCTGGCGTACGCTGGAAGCGCTACGCTGCGCTACGCTACGCTACGCTGCCGCAAAGTATAAACGCAGCCTAAGACAAACAACTCGGATACACTCCGCAGCCATTCGCACGAGCTGCGGCGTGGCAGCTGGGGGACCGTGGGCTTCGCTGCGGGCGGCAGGGTGGGGCGCCAGGTCGCCTGCCTCCTTCTCATGCATGTGCTCAGCCGGAGCCGATCTGAGCTACCATGTAATTCTGGAGGGAGGCCAAGCATGCCACACCATTTACTCGTCATTTCGCGCGACGGGACTCCATGGACTTATGCGAGTCGCCTGTGACGTGTGGTGATGCGGTCCATGTTGTGTTACAGGTGCTGCACCCAGGTGTGGCGCTATTTTCTCATTCGGGTGCGCGTTCAGTAGAGAAACGCACACCAATGGATGAGAAACAGCTCACCGCCTTACAAAATTGCATAAGCCAAATCTATACCTTTTCATTTTATAAACCAGTAACTTTGGTGTGTCGGTTTGTATGTATGTAAGTATGTATGTATGTATGTATGTATGTATGTATGTAAGTATGTATGTCTGTCCGTCCGCAAAATGTTTCACGGGTTCGAATTACTGGAGGGAAAAACGACCGCTAGGCAAACCGGTAACTGATTGGTAAGGATGTATCAACCCAATGTTTTGATTGCGATAACAGCCTCCACTATATAAGACCTGCGTTTATACTTCTGCGGGCAGGTAGCACGCAGCTAGTCCCTAAGCGTAGCGCTTCCAGCCGCACTGCCTACGCCGGCAATGCCCGGAGACCTTGGGGACTTTGAGCCATATCGATCTCAGCTTCACCAGCGTCACCAGCGCGCACGCTGGTCGTATGTCACGCTAGCGGCACCCGCCCTTAGTGGCCTAACCGGCATCGACGACACAATCCCGCTTATTTTCGTCCTATTCTACAATGTTTTTCGTTCCAGCGTTCGCTTCACCTCAGCGCTTACTTGCTAGCGTTTTGCTAGTCTAGGAGGGGTAGTTAGAAGACTATAGACTGCCGATTAGTAGAGGCGACACAACCATGATCTCTTCCACGGACAAAAACATCATCGACATTGCTACCGCTATCATCAGTCAGCCCATATAGTCTCTATCTAATGCACCATCGCCTTACGATCATGCCGTCTTCGACGCGGCCACATCTCGTATGTCTACAATGCCGACATCGCTTCTGCGTCTTGGACTGACCGCGGCACCATCCTCACTGACTACTCACACAATAGCTCGTGACTAATATCGCTCCACTCTCTGCCGTCTCCTCGACCCCAGGGGCACTAATACGAAGTCTCTACAAGTGGCTACATTCGCTTCTCGGACGCACGTCTTCGATCGGGCACATTAGCTCCTTCTTTACAAGCACATCGCTTCATGGCGTCGTTCGACGGCACGACTAGTCCGACTGTACCTTACCAGGTCACATAGACACCAGTCAGCCTGTCTACTCGCGTGTTACCCTTCTCGACACCTCTCGTGACGCCACATATCTTTATCTGCTACCTCATTAATAAAAGCGCAGCCCATTCGGCTTCTCGATCCTTACGCAACAGTCCTCCAGCACCTCGCGGCACATCTGATCATAGCTCTCGCTCCTCCACCGTCTCTTACGCCTTGGCCGCATGCAGCCGCTGCAACGCTAGCAAAACGCTGGTGAAACGCTGGAGAAACGCTGGCGTACGCTAGCGTGCCGCTAGCGTACGCCAGCGTGCCGCTGGTGACGCTGGTGAAGCTAGATCGATATGCATCCTCTCTTCGGCACTGCCGCTGGCGTACGCTGGAAGCGCTACGCTACGCTGCGCTACGCTACGCTACGCTACGCTACGCTGCCGCAAAGTATAAACGCAGCCTAAGACAACCATTCGGTACACTCCGAGCCATTGCACGAGCTGCTGCCGTGGCAGCTGGACGTGTGCTCGTGCGGGGGCAGGGTGGGGGTGCCAGGTCGCCCTGCCTCCTTCTCCTGCATGTGCTCAGCCGGAGCTGAGCACATGTATTGGAGGGAGGCAGAGGGAAGGGGTCGCGGGGAGGGGGGGGGGGTACAGTGAGGGGTGCGTCCCTTGCGTGCGCGTTTCAGTAGAAACGCACACCAATGGATGAGGAAACAACCGCTAACAAAACTGCAAGCCAATCTATGTTACCGTAACGAACTAAGAAGTTGTTTTGGTTGTGATAACACTCTCCACTATATAAGAAAACCACTACACTCCGAGCCATTGCACGGGTTGCTCGCGTGGCAGTTGGACGTAAGCGCGTGCAAGGGGCAAGGTGGAGGGGGGGGGGGGGGTGGAGTGGCGAGTACGGAATGGGGTGAGGTGAGGAAGGTGGGAGTTAGTATCGAGTGACCCCCTTCTCCCATCCTCACTCCCTTGCGCGTACTCAGTCGGATCTGAGCCCATGCAGGGAAGGAGGCATATGGATTGAATCGGGCAAACTGGGTACAGTAAGGGGATGCGTAGCGTACGCTTGGATAGGAGCAGGCGGCAAGACAGAAGGAAAGAACCCCTAGCAAAACTGCAAGCTAATCCATGTTACAGCAACGAACTAGGAAGCTGTTTGGATTGTGAATAGCTCCCCTATCTAAGCCAACCACTGTGATAGACTCTGTGCTATTGCAGGAGCTGCTCGCTTGGGAGCTGGACGTGAGCACGAGCAAGGCGGTGGTAAGAACAGTGGCGGCGTAGTGTCCCTATGTTGCACCAGCTGCTCACGTGGCGGCTGCATCCACGTGCGGGAGTGGGCGCCAGTTAAATAGGGTCACTGGGATATGATGGTGAGAGGGGATACCAGATGAGAACGGCGATTTCGCGATTAGGAGCACATAGCGCCTGCGGCGGTAAGGCGTCTACGGTTGCGATAAGATGGGAAGAAAATGGATCGACCGCAATCGGAACTGAACCGATTAATGTTGCATTATCAAATTGTGGTAGCGTTTTGATAGTCATAACACCCTCCACAACATAACACAACCATTTAGTGCACTCAGAACCATTGCACGGGCGCGTAGCAGCTGAGCGTGACCTGTAGGGTGGCTGAGCGGGGAATAGCTGAGGTTAGTTTGGGGATAGGTGAGGTGAAGGGGTACCATATTGGCGCGACCGACGCTCGAACAGGAGCACGCAGCGACTGCGGAGACCGAAGCATCCATGGCTGTCATGAGATGGGGAGGAGAGTAATCGATTATCCATGACCAGATTTTGAACTTTTCATTATGAAAGTGCCCTGCGATCATATGGCGCGTTTCTACATTCATTTGATTAGAAGACAGCGATTAGTCACGACTCTAAAGCAGTTGCATGAGCCCGGCGAAGCCGGGCTTCCAAGAAGGAGGAGAGCTCGGCGTTAGCCGGGCGATCCGACTGGTAAATATAAACTGAATAGTGAAGCAGCGAATGTGCAAAATGCCCCTCGCCCCCCCGTCGCCGAACTGTGCCCCAGAAACGTGCTTCCGTAGTATTTTATTCCTTGAGCCCGATCATCATCAAATTCCGTTCGGCTCCTAACCTTCACGCCGCCGGAGCTGGCACAAATGCAGCAAACCAACAGGTGGTTCAGGCTCTTGTACCGAGATGCAGGGCGTTTTCGTCGGTACTTCGCCCAGTCTACACAGGCCCATATCCAGCTCGGAATTTCGACCCAACCTCCACCGGGAATTTCCTTGAGGCAAACTTTCGCTACTTGAAAAGCAGTGACTTACCATTTACCAGTGCTATCGATTATAAAACAGTGCTGGGTTGCAACCACTCGATCGCTTTCCATATACGACGATATCCATCCAACTGATAAAGAAACCTGAACAGAAGGGAAGGTAGGTCTCCTGATTCAAATTAGATTCCACAGATTTGGGTGCAGAACTGTCTTGAGGGTAGGGGTTAGGGAGAAAATGAGCTAGCCAGAAATAAAGTTGGTGCATCTTGTAGTCTGTGGACCTGGCAAGGATGTACAGTCTTGTTCGATGTTCGACGCCAGCCCCTTCTCCACCACTTGTGGAAGCGGGCACCAAGCCCAGTCTTCTGAAACTTCTGGCGTCCGTAACGTAAAGGCTGGAAAGCTTCCGCGGAGCTTTTGCTTGCTCCTATTACTCTTGGCCGTCTCCCCTTTTCATGCAGGGCTGTTTAGCCTTTTTTTAAACCCTTTTTCTTCTTTACTGAGTGACTGGGCACCTTGGAACCCTGGGTGACCTGTGAACTTTGATTCCAATTTTCTTTCGGTTTCTAGTTCGGGCAATCAGGTTTACCCGGCAGGTTATGTTGCTGAAACCAAAACAATGATTCTTGGGCCACACCAAAGGTTACCCTAGCTAAGCTGACTCACAGCTTGAAGGCTCGGTCCGCGATCAGGTATAGAAGTTGAAAATATGGCGTCGGGAGGGTAGTGTGGTCCGCGGCGAACAACCGTACCGGTTTCGCGGCAAAGTTGTAAGGGAGGGGCGCTATAGCGCAGAACATAATAGGTTCAGTGACACCGCCTCTTTCCCCAGACTCCGCCTTTAAGACCCACCTTCCAGCGAAAAACAAAATTGACCGACGGAAATGCATGAAAATTGTCACTTGTACGGTCGTATTCTCTTGTCGGGGAATCAGCTGGGCGGATGAGGGCGTGGTGTTGCAGATGGGGTCCATTGGGCACGTACGAACTCGTATCGAAATGGGGTTCTAATTGGAGTAAGAAGCATGTTTTTACTGTTTTTTCATGATTATAGAGTTATGAGTATCTTGTCGTCTATAAGCGAACCTCTAATATCCACTATACTGGCGAATGATCGCGGGTTTTACTTTCAGGGTTATCTAGAGGTTACGCTCTGCACCACTTTCAGAAGAAGGATAAGATAGTAACATAAAAAACTCACCAGACATGCAGTAGGTATGAAAAATAGGAAGATAACTTTGTTCCTTTCTTGGAAAATAGATTTGTAGGCCATAGGTTTGAGCACTGCGAAAAACCGTTCGAGAGCAATCAAAATCATCAAGTAGGCCAGCACTTCAGTACCAATAATCAACGAATGCGTCCAGAATTTCTGTAAAATAAAAGAGAAATGAAATCTGGCTGGAAGGATGCTGCGGTGGTGGGGAGCGCCGCTGCTATATGTATTGTAAAGTAAGCTGATGCCTACCCTGTCTGTATCCCGTCTGTATCTCCTACAGTCCGTGAGGGGGTCTCTTCCCCTTTAGGCGGTCGATTTGTGACAGCATTGTTTGGGAAGAAAGAAACACTGATCCTGGTCTGTCGACTGGATCCTGCGGCTGTCTGCATAAGCCCAAATATGCACTCAAGGCCGCTGTAGATTTGTTCATGTCTGCAAGTTGAGGCGTGGCGCATCCCCAAGAGATACAGATCCACACTCCGCTCTTGATATGCTTTTGAAAAAAAAGTAGTATGAGGGGCCAAATGCTAATCTTCATTGAACTTCATTCAGGATGGTTGAAGTGCGCTTTAGACCTAGGCAGTAACAAGGGAGCGCTCCTGTCAGAGTTCAGAGCCATCTGACCCTCAGATATGAAAACTCGAATTACTGCCCGGAATTCACGAGTTTGCGGCAAACAGTTTGCGCTTGTCATGTGCATGCCCCTTCCAAGCCACGCAGCAGAGCGTCATCGGAAAATATCGCTGCGAGCTCATTCCATCCATAGATTTTCTTCCGTAACTCAGTGCCAGCATGTCTTCTGGACCCTTGAAATCAGCAGTCCGCAGAATACATGTCCCCGGACCCGTCCGAGGTCTACGACGGAAATTGCTTGTTTAGCATGACCCACTCCATT